CTTGTTTATATAAGCTTCTATGTGTGTGCAAGAAAACAAAGAAAAGTAACTTAAAATTAGGTCTCTTGTCCAGCAAGCAAGAGAAATGAAGAACAAAAGAAAATAGAACTAGAAGAGGATGATGTTATTGAATTGATATTTTGGGATGTCTTACTAATTTTCAATTCTCTCCATTTTTTTGCAAATACTGCTTGATATTATTGATGTTAAGGAAGCTTGTGAGTGACTCCGTACCGAACCAAAAATCACCCAACGTAATTTACGTAACAACAATATAACATAATAGTTCATATTCTTTTGTTTCTTCTCATATACATTGGACCTTAACAAAAATCAAAAACCGAACATTAACAAAAATTTGTCCTTATTATGGAAGAAATCACTCCTCGCATCTTCGTGTGCTTTGTTGCTAGCTTTCCACATATTGTAAGACATACATGCATCCGATGAAAAAAGGCGATTGCTTTGGAATGGAATTCCTTTTGAAACCAAACAACCATATAAAAATAACACAAAATTGTTTCTTCTATGGCTTCATGGAATCAACACACTGTTATATGAAATGAATGAAAAAATTATTGGCTTGGTTAAAACCCACAAATTTAATGTTGCTCAAACGGTAAAAGAGTGATGTATAATATATATACTGTATTAAAAAGATTATGATATTTGCACTTCATTTGTGGTCAAATAAATTAAAAATGGTTATTTAATTTGATGAATATATATTTAATAAATTGCATATAGTTAGCGTAAATTAACGTATATAGTTAGCTATATTAAATATTGTAACTATATTCAATATTGTTAATAATATATATATATATACACCCAAACGAAGTTCCATTTCATTGATTCAAAGAGTATATATCACACATAATCAAACACCACCTTAACAAATACTCAGAAAGCACAAGTTAAAAAGATGTAAATGATAAAATCATCTACAAATGAACGATTGTTATACATGTCGTAACTTAGAAGTGGTAAGGTGGATCTTTTCCATAAGGAGCGGATCAAGAAAAACTGTTTCTAAAGGCAATCTTTATTCTTTTTGCTAATATTTACAATCCATGATTCTATTAGTAATTCGATTAACCACGGAACATATTAATGAAATGATTATGTATATATCAACAATTGTGTATATGCATAAAACAACCAACTATTCTTAGTTACTTTGGTTTTCCACATTCGATCCGTGAATTTAGTCAAGATAAGTTGTAGATCCATGCACAAATTATCTGAATTTCAAGATCATAATATACGGTATATTTCAAGATTAAGAGCTAAGTAATTAAGTTGGTGTTCGTTGTGTCTTATTTCCCTAAGGAATGACACTCGAATTTCAAACCGGTGGATAGAAGCAGAATCGGGAGATCGAAAGCCCTATCGTCCAGGTTCAAATGTCATAATAAGAGCCATTCGCGAGTTGTTTCTAACTATTGTGAATGATGCAAACTTAATAGATCTGTATAATGCTACATTTTTTGGTTCATCATTCAAATGGACTTGTAATGTGAGATTAATTAGTGCTAGACATTAACAACTTTTGTCATCTCTACAGCCATGTGGTACGCATGTCATTTTCGTCACACATTTTTGCATGCCTTTTCACTAAATTGGATAGCATCCAAAATTGTATCAAGAATCACATGAAACAAACACACCATAGATCATTAAATGTAGTCATCAAATTTTGCAACCATAATTTTTGAAATCTTTTAACCTCAAAAGTTGGGTACATTTTTTTTTTTTTTTTCGAAAAATTGTAACCTCAAAGGTAGTGATCAAGTAAGTCTACAAACATCAAACATGATGATGGATTGTTTCCAAGTCATCATCCTTAGCCAATATGTCATCCAACTTCCTAAGAACTTGATTAAGAAAGCTTGAGAATTACAAAATCTCTTTAATTTTGTTTCTGAATTGATGCTAGATATGCCACGCGTGATAAGCAAATGGATTAGACGAATCCTGTCACAATTCATAAATGTTTGGTTTGATACTGAAATCTTTAAAACTGCTAGCAAGTTGAGATACCAGTTTAATCTAGGAAAACAAAATAACTTGTGATACAAAATAACTTGTCTATATATATATGGGATTGTGATTGTAAATTTATGTTAAGAGTATGAAATAAAATAAAAATATAAAGCACAAGTTTTTTTTCCTAAAACCGCACAATTTTTCCCAAAAAAACGCACAGTTGTTGCTTAATAACGTAACATAGATATTTTTTTTTGTTCATCTCCAAAAAGTATGATAGTGTAAAACAAAATGATAAAGAAAATCCACACAACTTCTAGATTGACATTGTTAAAAATTGTGACCATCATTTTGAGCATGCAATTAAACAATTTCAATACAAAGTTATGGCTTGTCTCTTAACATAGATTCAATGGAAGTTCTTAAAATTAAATTTTAAAATTATTGACATTGATTTTTGTAGATGATTTTTATATGTATTATAATTATCGCAAGAAGGGAAACTTTTTCATCTACGGACTTGGAGATACTATCTCATTTATAGCGCATCTTGTGGCCGTATTTTCCGGAATCCGCAAAGATTTTGTTACGTAAGTTATATCTCTAAC